AGTTGAATTGTGGGATTAAATATTAATAATTAAATGATAATAGTATGTTTACAGTAGTCTCATCATTTTTAATTAAGAAAAGATCAAAAGATTAGACAGTACTAGATGAGAATTTAGGGTTAGGACAAGGGATAGCAAGGATTGTTGTGAGATTTGAAGTATTGTTAAAATAATAATGATATATTCAAAATTCTTTGGTTTTTGTGAGTGTATCTGTATCTATTTAAAAAAATGTCATTGCACCATTTTTTTAACAGATACATTTTTTTTGTCTATAAAGAGGCGATTACTGAACACGCTTCAGTATACCGGTAGTAAAACCATAGACTGTAGAATAATTGTACAATAGACTAATCTAATAAAAATAAATGATATTCTGCTGAAAATTATCATTTCATTTTAGGTGATTGTTTGATATATTTCATTAGGATATAGGGATTATTTGCTTCAAATCCAGCCAAGCTTCTTCAACTTGCCGTCGGTCAAACCGGGGACTTATTACCGGGGATTGACCTCTGTGCATCAGTGGGCATGCATGCGTTCAGATCTTTATCTTAGACATGCCTAGACCGATTACATTCAAACTTCACGCATACATCATACATGATATTAGATATGTGCAAATCAATTTGTTTCACGATTTGGTTCAAGATGGCAGAATGGCAGCCAATTTTGTAATGAAAAAATCACGAAATTCAAGTATTTCTCGGCTGTTTACAGATGCAAATCACTTTGTTTTTCAGATAGGATTTAAAATGTCCGACTGGCAGCAATTTTTGTTTTAATGAATGTGGTTCTAGTGCCATATCTCTGACATGCTTTGACTGATTATGATCGGATTCAAAATGGCCAAATGCTGGCCATTTTTGTGCTAAAAATCATCAAAAATCAAGCATTTCTGGCATTCAAAAAATGGATTTTGGTCGTTTATGGATGGATTTTGTTCAAACATGGTACATACATTATGAGCCTTTGATACATGTCATTTTGTTTTTCAGATCGGTAGCCATTGTGTTTTAATTAACGCTGTTCCTGAGAAATCTCTCTCAATATGGACAAGTACTTATACTATATTACTATAAACAAAACTACCGGTATATAACTTCGATTTTACATCATGCATGGCTTGTTTTTCCTATAAGTTTTTTGTCCTAATTACAACTGATTCCTTTTTTACTTGCATAAAAAACTGTTATTGCAGATGTGAGTGTCATACATGTAAATCATCTTTGAAGTTGTTTACCTTATTTAATTTTGCAATGGTTGCAATTTCTATAAAAGCCTGCCACAATTTTGTCTTGTTACCAAATATGTTCTTAATGCTACTTATCGCTTAAAGCGAGTTCAACAAAGACAAGTGTACATCGTGTTTTCAAATTTAAAACATGCAGAGAATACAAGCCAGAATTATTATTTTTAATGAAATTAATAGTGTTTAATAATGTTCACTGTTGTATTCTAAGTTAATTATGTAATGTATCTCAAAAATAGGGATGATGAATGTAACTAAAATGAGACTTTTTTACGAAATTGGCAAATTCATTTTGTAACATGTGTCAGTTCACATTTACTTTTACTCGGTATAAGATTATAAACCAGTCCCTAGACAGGCTAAGTCAGGACTATTTCTTTTTTTCTCTATAATTGAAATTTTTAGACAACAAAATGGCCTCATTGGTTGGTAGCATATTTATCACCTTAAATATGTGACGACAACTATAGAGTGTGTGACAGAACAGACCAGTAGTGGTGATTTTGTGTTAACACAGGAGATTCTACTAACTATAATATAAAAAATAAAATTGCCGTGACTGGACCAGTCTAGGTATATACATGTATGTGAATAGTTGGTCCATCAGAGAAACATGACGCATATAGTATTAGTAGACATTCATTCTATTTTGGGTCATATACAGAAAGCAATCCGTCAAAAAATCAAACGTTGCAACTTATCAGCATGAGTGATGTTGTTATATCAAAGTGGTTGGTAGGTCCATTGCTCTATGGAAGCAAACTTGACTGGGGTGCTATACACACTGGATTAGTGTTATAAGCTTGTAAATAAACTATAAAGGATTCTGTAAACATAGGCTGTGTAAATGATTAACAACACTCATTAGCAAAGCCACACCTCCAATAAACAATCCCCCAGAGCCTTTAACCTGTTGAACAACTTAATTTTTTGCAACAAAATTTTTGGTGACACATTTTGCACATTTTTATATAACTTTTCTAGAATTTCTTTGTAGATTTGAATCAGACAGACATAATTTAATAATAAAAAGGATATTTAATATGCAGGTTTTGTGATACATGACAAAAGTTGACTTCAGCACTGAAAGGGTGAACTCTTCTCAATTCAATATTGAACTCAAAATTAACAAGTATTTTAAAAATTATTTGAATGAATGAAATACTAGTAAAAATATTCAAACAATATCTCATGGAAAATTCAGGCATTGAAAAACTAAAAGTTGAGTAATTAAATTTAAACTTCTTTTTAGCAACAGGTGGTGGCAGTTAAGTTTTTCTGACTGAAGTAAAGCCAATTTGGTTCAACCTAACATTAAACTGTGAATAATAAAACTAGTAAATTAACTTTTAAGTAGTGTAGTTCACTACACTCTTATTTATATACTGAATTGTTTCAATACCAGCAGCTGATTATACAAGTTATGATGTGATGATAGTAACCATGGTAACAATATAAGCTGCCAATTCAGCTTACATGCACCAAGAATATCAAGTGTTTAATCGTGTTGTATAAAGCCACTCTCTTTCCAGTCACTTAAGTTGCGTTAATATGTTAACCAATAAATAGGCTCAATTTATATCCGCAATTATGACCCCTCCTGTGAAGCATGAAGTGCCTATTGTGGTGGACCTTAAGACGATCGTAACAACAACAAAACGGTAAAATTAAAAAATGGCTTTTTGTTTCGTTTTAAAGAGGGCGGCATTAATATTGCATGACCTTTCACCTACCATGGCATGCTTCATTCGTTACCATGGGTACAAAACAATGGTGAAACCATGAAAAGTTGCAACTTCTTTCAATTCGTTGCTTCAATTTAATTACAGGTAATGTTTAGAAACTAATGTTATTCATCTTAAAGTCTATACAAGTATTAAAAAGTATCTCTGCAGAAGTTGTATATACTCATACTGAGTTTTGCAAAATAGTAATTGGAGGTTAATGCAATTTATGACAAAGTTTTTATTCTGCAAACAGAGAAAATGGCATTTAAAAAGTCGCCAAACTGTTAGTTATAGTATGCTCCTTTACTGGGTGCTGCGTCACATGAATGCGAGATTTAATCTGGCTGCAATGTGCACTATAAAATACCAACTTTGATATAATAGTGTGTTCTGAGTGTAACTTTAGATAACTTTAAATAACTTTAGATAACTTCAAACTGGCTTTCAAAACTGTCATATATCATAATTGTACTGTCTAAATATGTTTTATATTAGTATTAGGTAAATACTATAAACAGAGTCCGGAATACTTTAAAAAATTCTGGCGTATTTCGGGAAGTTTTAATTTTCACAACTTTTGAATATTTATTTGTACTTTTAGGTTAGTGACGATGTTATAATAATTCTTCATTTCACTTTAACCTTGTTTTTTTACTGGTCAGACACTTTTAAAAAGTCACTTCTGGCTATTGTAATAGCCATTAATTTCCGAAATACCTCAGGAATTGCCCAGTAAAACCTTGGTAATGTCTCTTCTTCTATTAGTTGATCTGCACATCAATCAGTGTCGCCAACTTTGACCCTGATCTCACGCATATGCAACACAATGATCACTACCCTTTAGTATGCAGTTTTTATTTCTAGTGTTTAATTTAACTTTGTTGACATTTAAAACAAATTAATCATGGTTTGAATGTTCTGAAAGTAATTCGCCACATTGACTGATAAAAAGTTAGCAGTTATCGTACCCTTGTAATGTTGAAATTTATATAACTATAATTCACATTGTTGGTATCAGATCACAGAACCAAAATTAACAACATGTACCAGTAAGGTCAAAAAAATATATATCTTATGATGACTCTGAGTAAATTTGATGCTGGCAGAGTAGGTAAATACAGGTTGAAAGAAGGATAATGACATCTTTTTGAAAACTGATCGATAACAGAATATTGGCTGATATGTGCTTATCACTCTACATGTGTGTGTATTCACAATGCATTGTTAGTTGCTAAGGTCAATATTGCCACAGTTAATGTCCACAGTAATCTACTTTGTTTGCACTTAGAATTCATTTTCCTATTTCTACTGAAGGGATGAATCATTGAAAATAAAATCTTGTGAAAATACCTTTTTTCCCTATATTTCTTATAACTCGTTAAAAATCAGTGAAAATAAACTCCATACAAAACAGCTGAAATGTCCTATAGGCAAAAATTAATTCCAACTAAAATAATTTTGTTCACAGCATATTAATTTGTGTGGCATGTTTGCAAGAATGAGCAAAGTGAACTGTTACTGATGATTTATACATGAGGGGGTTGTGAGGCAAGTGGTGTCAAAACCTTATTTATTAGTAGCTGCTGTTTCATTAAACATTAAATACCATTTTTGATTTATATGTGTTACTATTTGAGATGTGCTTCTAAGTGCAAATACAGTACTTAGTATAGGCACAATAATTTGTGTTTTAGAAGGTACTGGGTAAACATGCCATGTAATTATATTACAGAAAAGCAATCTGGAGATAGGAAGCTGCTTGTTGTGTTTTTTATCATGTAGAAATCGTGAATAAATGCTGCAATCTCTAGAACTGTCACGGTGTAGGACTATACTGTACCCTGCATCGCAGATTATTTACTTGGTTTCTAAAATTAAACTTCTTTCTAAATCTACTAATCACTCACCTCGTCATTGAATAATTTAGTATTTTATTTCAAAAATGACAGTCCTGATCAGTGAGTGATAACAAGAGAATTAAAAATATTCCATAAATTATATTTGTGTATTTTGTTTTACAGTATCGTCTTAGCGCACGTACCAACTCGAGTAGTCTACAAATACCAAAGGAAGCTAGAAGTCGCAGTCATGTGTCTTTTTTTCGTGACAATGAAACCACCCAATCACAGCCAGTGCCTTATGAGTGGTACATACGTGATGTGAAGGAACGTCTTGACAGAGCACGAACAGCCCAATCAAGTTATTCCCTCCCATCGTTAAGAAGTGGTTGGGGTGATACTAGCCATACTGTCAATGCTGAAGTTCTTGATGAGCCTGTCTGGAATAAATATTTAAATGCATGGGTGTCTGGTAAACAGGTGAGTTGACACAATATTCATGCAAGACCTTTTCTGACTGAATACTGTAAACACCCTTAGTTACGCGAGAGACAATGTAGTTGAACAATCCCCAAATTTTGAATCAGCAAAAAATTGGGTCCTAATGACACCATGTGGTAGGGGCTCTAGTGTCATCACAAATGGCATAAAATCCTGAAATGGTTTAAATTCCTAGCAGTACCAATTAAACAGTTTACTGATAATAAACGTACGAGTAAGAAGAGATTTACGATAATAAATAGTATTTGTTTTTGTGAAACTCGAAGGCACACCCGGCGCGTACAGCACTAAGGAGTTTTACCCGAAACGATTTATTTCTGTAAATTTCCTAATATGAATATGTTATGGTACCACAAATTTGGCGAGCTTCACTAGTTCTTGATGAAATTTCTCCAAACCCCATTGTGGTTGATGCGTGCATAGCTAATGTACCGGTAACTCCCTTTGGGTCGATGTTCAGAGCTGATACAAACGACCAATCATCTGCTTAGCTCAGTTGCTACCTCAGCTAGAGTGGCTACAACTTGATTGATCAAAAAATCTTGCCACTAGTAAAAAATTTCATGGAGCCAACAGAAAAAAATTGAGTTATTTTTTCAGTTTTAACTCAAAATATTTTGCTATTTTTGTCCCAATTTTCTAAAGGAAAGTGCGGACTATAAACTCGACTATTTTGTGAATTTGTGATAAAAATAGGGAACTGGTGGTGAAAAGGTTAAATGAGAGGAGTAAGTTGTACCCTCACACACGTTCATCATTAGAGAATGACTTCTTTCTGAAACATCAGATTGCCCAGTAAATGTGTACTGTTTAAAACAATAAAACTGTCAGATTTATGTGTAAATTTGGAAGTTCCAAAAAAAAACATTATCCAGTAAACCAGACAGTTTGTAAAAAAGCATACTTATTTTAATAGAGATGAAGAAAAAGTAGATAACTAATGAGAATCCTTCAATGATTTTGTAATACTAATTTAATACATTATTTTTCAGATTAGTAATAATAATAAAAACAAGCAAACATTGAAATGACATTTATAAAAATATGATTTCTGAATACAAGAAAAAAAATCATATTAGAGGCATAAACCAAAACTTTTATTTATATACAGAAACATTAAAATATGACCTAATTGACAATAAGCCATACCTCTCATTTATTACATATACTAATGGAGCAAATACGGTATTATGGCCATATAGCGAAGTGATATAAATTTTTGGAATTACAAAGTTATACAGTTTTGAACTACCTCCTAACTTATTTATTTTTAAATGTCACAAACCAAAATTTCTTAGTTGTTGATGGTGGTGCATTTCGTGTGGGTTCATTTGGGAAGCACATCACTCATTTCGTGTGGGTTCATTTGGGAAGCACATCACTCACTTGCACATTGCCTAGCAACTATGGATTGTGTCACCAGACAAAATACAGGTGAAACAATCTTTTCAGGTTAAACTGTTCATGTCTACATAGTTGGACTGTTTTAATAATGTAACCATAGTTAATGGAAGGCTATCATGTCAACACTATAACAACATAAATAAATAGGACTGTAGCGGATCATTAACGACAGAGTGATGATCATTGAAGTGGAACGTTAATCCGTTGTTTACAGATGTCATGTCCAACACAATAGCTTTGTTTAACTATTTTGGAGTCTAAAATTAGAACATTACCGTACCCGACCGGGGAAGCACCCAGGGTACTCCAAAATCATGTGTTTTAGGGAAGTGAATGCTTACCTGAACACCACCTCGAAAAGTATGATCTGTTGGAACTAATTTTGGCGAAAAAAAATAAACTAAATATAAAACTAATTATGGTTTTTATCGTCTTTCACGTTTGTTAACAGGTGATTGTCGAAGCATAGTTTACACACGGTTACCGTGGTCTATGAGCTCACAACATATTCACAGTGGTTGATATCCATGTTTTATTATATAAATACAATCACCTGTATTGGGAAAAGTCGAACAATGATCAAAGATCAGGTTTTATGAATAGACAGCTAAATTTGGGGCATTTTGGAGGGGATGGGCGCTTCACTGAATATGAACTCAAAAATAGAAATGTCTCAAAAGTGGACGATGGGTGCTTAGCCGAACATGGGCGCTAAACCGATCGAGTACGATATTTGTAAATATTTGAATTCTGAACAATTTCATTTAAATCAATATTGGGCTTTTGTGTTGGTGCACTATTGCAGTATAATGCAACTGACTAGTTATTATTAATTTAATTTGTTTGACCATTGGATGTATGTAATGGCAGATTGTGATATCATTTTTTGTGCGGAAAGTTTATTTCTGCAGAAGTTACTTTCCAACTACTACTATTGCTAAAGTTGTAGCAACATAATCCGTAAACATGAAGAGATTTCTGAAATGGTACACCTTGTTATATCGTGTTTTTGTTGCCAGTGTTCAACTTCTGGCCTTCTTCACAAAAACTTACACATGTAGGTTTACCCATGATTCATTAGCAACAGTGAGTGTATATTGATACTATCCAGCTCTGTGTGAGTGCAAACTATGTAGTGATCAATGGTTGAATTTAAATGCTAAGGATGAAATTACATGTACAAACAATTAACAACTTTAACTGGACCCTTACACGTCAACACTTACATGTCATACATGCAGGTTACAAATAGGCAAGGACAATTAATTAGCTGTACATTATTTGAAATCACATGTCATTCAAGAGTAAGGTAAATCCCTCCACAATGAAAACATTGCCATAGATCTCACCACAATAAAAACTCTACAGGTAGTCTTTGTAAAGTACCTACATGACATGCACACCCACAAAATCCTGATTAGCACTAATTATAAATTTTCTTCTAATTGATTGTAATTATCTGTCAACATTGAAACTGTTATCTTCAGTTCACTGTCTTTTTAAAACTGTTACACGCACAAAAAACTTTCTATTGTTTGACAATCATCAATTTGTTGGTTAGCAAGAAAATAAAATCTCTACTTGACTTGATAGTCCATAGGAATTGCCATATGTATGGACAAATGCTATTCCGTAGAGCATTGCAGGACAAAATTGTTTAAAAGTCACTTTCAATCCTGTTTTAAAAACCTTAGTGAAATGTTCACTGTTACTCCCTTTTTAAAAACTACTGTAATGTTCACTGTTACTCCATGATTTAAAGACCTTGTGAAATATTCACTGTTTCACTGATTCACAAAATATTTGCATTTTTCTTGCAAAATTAGAGTGATTTACCAAACAAATGTTTGTTTTCAAACTGAATGTTTGCATAATAAAACCAGTGTGAGTTTTGTCTCCTTAAAAACCCAACAAACTCATTTCTTTGACATATCACATGCAGCCCTTGTAATTGTCGGAGCGGACATCCGGACATTTCCCCCTCATGGCAACCATCACTGTGAAAAAAAAGGCCGAAAAACTCTCAGAAAACGGTACTTTGGGATGTTGTTCAGACTCCCCTGAATAGTGTAACAAGTTACCCTTGCGTGTGTAACGCATAGAAATTTGATTGTTCAGGATTACTTCAAAGTTGAGTTCCTCTTGTTTTCGAATTTTCAACGGCTCTTCTCTCCACGTTCCTCAGCAGTGTGCGCAGAGCCCCTAGAAATACGTGGTACAGTGGTGCGCGTCTTAGCAACGTGGTGTGATAGAGTAAATATAGTACATTTTGTACGTTTCAGTCAGCAATCTTTAGACATGTACGTAATAGCATATAGTGTTAGTAAACTCTGAATGAAAGTGACATATATTGTTGTTTACTGTATGCCTGGTACTAAATAAATATTAGTATATTTGGTAATTATAACAATTATATTAGGATAATCTTGGTGTGTTCTAGCAAAACATAGGGGAAAGGTGCTGCCACAACAATACATGGATTTGAATGGCTGTGTCTTAAATCAAACTAATTCAAATCTTGGTATATACTGAGAATCCCAGCAAGTCTACAAATGTACCTGTTCTGTTAGTTATACACATTATGCATCTTTTTGAAATGAGTGACTTACATTGCAAGTTTCCAAATTTTGATTCCCTGCATGTCTCTGATAAATAACCTAACCGCTAGACTGAATTAATGATATTTTCAAAAAATCATAGAAAATTGGGGGGGGGGGGGAACGATCATTTTTGATCTGATCGTTTTTTTTGCCAAGGTGATGCGACTTGATTTTCTTGTACGCAGGTTGTTTGTATTGGACGATTTTTTTTGAGTTTGGTGTGTTTTGTGTTTTTGATGAAAACAGACCATGCTCTGTTCATATAAATAGTTTTGATATGCCAATAGTTGAATAGTTCTGGACTTGCTAATAATTTGACAATGTTGGAAACCCAGAATGGACTTCCTATTCAGTGTGTCCTTCATCATAGCAATGTTCACATTATGCACATTCACAAACAAGAGAACATTCACTTGAGCATTTTAAGGATAGTGAGAATAGAAGCACATAGAATGAATAACTAGTTACATCACTCATAGATATCGCTGATTCAATTGCTATATGTTATGTTCATTTTGATGTACAATATAATGGGTCTACACATGCAGTGTGTAAAATTATATCGTTGCTGTGCACGATGACATCTTGTAGCCCTCCTGAGCAACCCCTAATATTGCAAAATCCCCAGTGAACTTTTAATCTCATTTACATGTATAAGGATTCCTGCTTAAAGTTACAGAGATAAGAAAAATGCACAATTATAGCAAGAAAGAGTAATGTTTTCTTCTTCCAGGTTAAAAATTCTCTTACTAATATTTGATTGTATTGGAAATTAAATTAAAAAATTATCCAGAGTTATTTTTGATTTGTCAAAAATGACACTGTATGTAATTGGTGGTGATGGGAATTGTGAATTTACTAACAAAAGGCCTATTGTAAACGAATATTTTTGTGAATTTCACTGACCCTGAAAGATCTGAGGTGTCTTGTACATATCACAAAATAATATTACTTCACATGAAACCAGTCTGATCT